CCTCAACTGCAAGGCTTGCCGGTCATACTGCTCATCTAGAGCAAGCAGGTACGTGGTCAAGTGCACCATGGTTGGACTGTCTTCTTGCGCATCGCACCCTTGCAAGGCCTCCATGGAAGCCCTCCATGCCCGTCGATTCTTTTCCAAATATGGAAAGAACCTCATGGGGGTACAAGCAATGGGCTCTTCATAGATTTGACAAAGGTACCTCAAGGCTTTACGGGCTACAACCTGGTAGGTGTCGACGAAGCAAAACCTGGTTGTGGTCACATTCCAGACTTTAGTGATGTCGAGGAACTCTTCAGTCTTCCCAATATAGACAGTAACCTCATACCGCTCAGTGCCATGCTTCTCATACTCACGACCCTCATACTCGGGACGATCCTTGACTTCAAGCTTTTACAGGGTGGCATGTAGGATTCTAGAAAAACCCTCAACGTTCAGGCAGTAACTACTAACCCAGACTCCTACCATTCCAGGCGATGGTGGCAAGGAAGGACTAAGCGAAAAGCTTGCTCAAAAGAAAAGCTGGGCGAGCTAAAGTGCGTCGAGTGGTGATACCAATGGCTAAGCTAGGCCTCGCTTATAAAGACAGAGCGGTCAGTGGTCCTGGTGTAGTCCACCAAGGTTCCTGCACGGGATCACTTACGAATGAATCGATCAAATTTTTCGCACGTGAGAGGTGAGCGATGTCCGAGGCCATTACTGACTAGTACGACTGCAGGGCAAGTGCCCGACAAGAGCGCAAAAAAAGTATGGGAAGACGTGGGTCACGACCGGCGTGAACCACGGGCGAATGCAGAGCACGAAGCTACATTGCAGAAATAACTCCAGAACATAAATGGTTCAGTCTTGCACAATACGACACGCATGACACTTATAGGTGGCGTATCTGCAAGCAATACGGGCACTACAATGCACAAACAGGATATACATGAATGCTCGTCCTATACGTCCTTCCACTGTTGCCAACATATAGGGCAACCGTTCTCAGATTTTTGGCACATCGTTCTCTCCCTGTAGCTAGTCGGTACTATCGGACTATGCGCGTGGTTAGTGTACCTGCAGAAAAATTGATTAAGTCTATCTAAGTCAGCAGAGTGTCATCTATCCTGGATACATAACCATGATAATAGGGCTCAATAGTTAACCTAGCAAACTAATTATTCTGGAGCCATAAAAATTATCGTGAGTAACTAATATTATTAGGAGTTTACTGTAAAATTTTCAGAGTCAACACTATCATCATTTTCTCACAAAAATTTCCACAAATTCATATTTTAACAATATTACACATTTTAAAATAATTAGAGCAACCCTAAAAACAACACCAACTAGATGAACCAATTATGCTAATAGATAGATCATGATTTTAGGAACTCAACAAAATTAGTTTGGCATTTTTGTGATTTTTCTACGCTTTATTTTTAACTTTTGAAGAACACTGAATTAACAAAATGAAAATCAACACCAAAAAGAAAAAGAGCCTGCGCGGCTTGACTCGGCCCGCAGACGCGCGCGCGGCCTGCTGGCCAGGCGTGGCCCAGCGGCGCGGTAAAGGGCGCAACGGCCCAGGCGGGGGCGGGGCGCACGCGCGGCCACAGAGGAGGCCGGCGGCCCACGCAGACGGCGAGTGCGGCCCAACAAGCCGACCCAGGCGCGACGGCAGCAGACCGGCCCAGCGCGGCCTGGGCAAACCGACCTGGCGAATATGCAAAAAGGACCATGCGCTTTTCCTTATTTAACTCGAGGTAAACAACACTATGCGATACTATTCATATGAGTCTCGTGTTTTACACCTAGAACCCTATAATAGTTCTTATTCACACGTTCTCACGTGCTCTCTTTCCCCAAAAGCATAGCGCAGAGCAGAGGCACCGGCCGGCGGTCAATCCCAGCCGGGGAGGGCACGGCGACGGCGGGAAGCCCGCGCGGCCTCGGGCTGGCTGCGGTGAGACCTGAGCCAGCCCCCGGCATCCTGCCCGCGCGAGCCGAGGTGGCGGCAAGCCGGCTAAGGCGGCATCGGCCAGACGAACGGCGGCAACGGCGCTGTGGCGCTGGCAGGGCGGCTCCTCGGCACCGGGCGGCATGGCGCGCTCGCGCGCGCGGTGGCATCGATGGAAACAACCACTGCAGGGCGCGACGGTGGCGCAGCCATGACGGGGCGCTACAGGCGGTAGGCGCGGCGAGGGCGAAAGGCACTACGACTCGGGCGCGCTCGCGAGAGGGGGAAAAACCGGCGACGGCACTCCTAGGTGCGGTGTCTGTCGCGCTGGGAGGGGTAGCGCCGAGGGGCGGTGGTCCAGCACGGACCGGGGTGGGCACGGCGGCCGCACGTGGAGGAACAGTGCGGTAGAGCGCTGCAGGGCTCGGGAGGAGCCGCGGGTGCGAGGAGGAGCGAGGCGAGGCGGAGTAGCTCGGCGTCATGCTTTGCTCTAGCGGTATGGGGATCTGTGCTGCTCCAGCGGGATGAAGGAAAGGAGTGGGAGGTGGGGTCCATGTCGTGCACGATGCGACGGAAGGACGAGGCACCACGGGGTTCTGCTACGCACTGGGAAGAGGAGCAGCCATGTCCGAGCGGCGTCGGCTAGCGGCAGAGCAGAGCACGGAGACGTCCCATCCTCGCTGTTGATCAGTCCGCTCGCTAGTCACTAACTAAACCACGACAAACAGCTGATGACCAACTGCAGGAACAGCTCTCAGCTCAGAATTAATCACGCTCTTTGAATTACACAAGATTGTACTACGTATAGTAGTAGTAGCAGCAAACACATGGGCGTGACTGTGTGTGAGACGATGCGACACGGACATGAATGACGACAATTTTAAAAGGTCTAAATCCTATCAACTACCACCAATAAATATCTCACGCGATAGCTCATACTCTATACCAAGCCGTGGAATAAAATATTAGGGTGCTATGTAATTATTTGTTTATCACTAATATCCATACACACATGCATATATTTATTGTATGTTTAAACATATACTTATCTATAGAGATACACCTGGAAAGAAATAAGTTTATACACTACTTAATTAATATAGCAGCATGCTTATCAAAACGAATCACGTGAGTGTATATATATACCTATATATATATATATATATCTATTGGTTATTAATTTAGACAATTAGCAACATCTAGGCACAAGAAAAATTCTAACAAAGCTCGAATTTAAATTAGATTCAAAAGCTATATATATATCGTTCTATTTAATAATATATTTTATTTTATTCTATTTTTGAGTTGTCTTCTACTCTACTCTTGCTCTAATTTATTATTAACAAGTTAATAATTACACATTTAGTGCTAAAGGGCTCCTGTAACAGTGGAGGTGTTACATGTTGGTAGCCTGGTATCATCCTAAAGGGTTGGAACACTTGATTTCTCCCCTGTAGCCATGTATTCAGAGTTTGAATCATCTCCATTGAGCCTTCTGTGGCTCCAATAAAGTTACATATTTTAAATTTGGCGATAGAGAATATGGAGCAAGTGATAAACATGAATATCACCTGCTACCAATCTACCACTGTCTTTTTTTGCTTGACCCCTTTAGCTTGGAAAATACATGTGGTTGCTTATGTTTACGGTGCTTATGCTATTATTGAGAACTTATCTTCTTGTCACTCCCATAAGTGTTATTCTCTCCATCCTAAAATATAATTCATTCTATTGTTCATCTAGATATATAGGCCCCATTTAGCATAGTTTCACTTCACTGGTGAAGTCATTTTTTTTTTTGCTTCAGCTCTGCAAACGGCTCCACCGGTGGAGCTGAAGCTTTTTGGTAAACCGTTTGGCAAGAGGCTTCGTCTGTCTGTCATGCATGGCTGAGAGAGGTTAATTATCCAAGATATCCCTATGTACATACAGTACATGTATATTAACATCTGGAGCTGTATGTTTCTATATGTTGTTTCATCCACAGTCAAATTAAAAATGAAAAATAAAATTAAAAAAATAAAAAAATAAAAAAATAAAAATTAAAAATAACATAAAGTATTAGCAATATGTGAGAGCATGTTCGTGGAGCACGGGCACGGAGAAACATACTCTTCTTCTTGTGTAAGAGCATCTCTAAGAGATTTTTCATATCCTTCCTAAATGCGATGAATAAAGAATTTTATGAAAAAGTATGCTCTAACAACTTCTCTAAATGGTTATTCAAATATAGACATATTCTATTTCAGATTTTTCGCTAGCCAAAAATAGAAGACGAGAATAGCTCTCTAGAGCGCGCATGGGATATAGAAGAACTGTTGGAGAATAAAAAAATATAGAAAACGATTTTTATACAAATGACTCTCCAAATAATGATTTAGAGATTGTGATTTAGAAATGTTCTTGGAGATGCTGAAGCCTCGCGAATGTACGAAGGAAGAGAAATGGACTCGCGAACTTTTCCCAATGGCAGATCGCATAACTTCATTAAATCCTAAGGGTAGTGGCGCATGGGCTGGAGAAGGAGCCTGAAGAAGCCATTTTTTTGCTTCGTCCCGCACCAAACCTCTGTGAGAGCATGTTTTTAGGAGGCTTCACTAGTAAAACCATTTCACCCTACTCGTTTGGCAAATGACACCTCAAAACGACTCCTGAAGCCGGTGGAGAAGTGCTAAACGGGGCCATAATATATAAAACGATTAATTGTTTAAAACAAAAGGAGTTTTTTTTAAAGTTAAGTAGTCAGATGACCGAAGTTTGCAACGTGCCAATCGTAAGACTTTGTGACAATGCGTCAAGGTCCGTCTCTTCTCTCCCCGGCTGACTTTCAACCGCACCACCGTGTATGCACACGCACCTACTCGTACTCGGCTACTCCCCCTCCGTCTCACTTCCATGCGGGCCCGGCTGACGCGCGTGATCCCAAGCAATTAGCCTTCCTTTCCGTTATCTTCTCGGAACCCTACTCCCAAACGCAACCCGGGTATTGAAATCCCCACGCAACGAGACGCACGCGTCCCGCACGCCGCCCCAACTCCAATCCTTGCGATCCGCCATGGCCTCGCTCCAGTCCTTCCTCGCCGTCAAGCCGGCCGCCGGCTGGGCCACGGCCGCGGGCGCGCGGCCCGCCACTCCGCCGTCCCGCCGCGCGGGCGTCTCGGCCTGCCTTGCGGCGCCGCCCCCTCCCCCGACCACCGCGGCCTCCATGGGACCGGCGCGGCGGGAGCTGTCGGCCGCGAGCCAGGCCGTCATGGACGACGAGGCGCGGTACCTCGTCGGCACCTACAACCGGTCCCGCGTCGTCTTCGAGTACGGGCGCGGGTGCAAGCTCTACGACTTGGACGGCCGCGAGTACCTCGACATGTCCGCCGGCATCGCCGTCACGTCGCTCGGCCACGCGGATCCCGACGTGTGCGCTACCATCGCGGAGCAGAGCGGTAAAATGGTCCACGTCAGCAACGTCTTCTACACTACACCCCAGGTGGGTGCCCCCGGCCCCAGTCCTCCCTCTGATCCTCCCCTTCCCCTTCCCCTTCCCCTTCCCTCTCCCCGCGCTCGCTCACCATGTGTTCGACGCATTGCTCCGTCCGGCCTGTTTTCTCCGGTTGGTTCACCTGCTGAAGCTGCTCGCTGTCGCACGCAGGTGGAGCTCGCCAAGCGGCTCGTGAAGGTGTCGTTCGCGGACCGCGCCTTCTTCGCCAGCACTGGCACGGAGGCCAACGAGGCGGCCATCAAATTCTCCCGCAAGTTCCAGCGGGTCGCCCACCCCGACAGTGACGATCCGCCCATGGAGTTCTTGGCGTTCAGCAGCAGCTTCCACGGCCGGACCATGGGCGCGGTCGCGCTCACCAGCAAGTCGCAGTACCGGGAGCCCTTCGCGCCCGTCATGCCCGGAGTGACCTTCGTGGATTACGGCGATTTGGAGGCGGCCAAGAAGTTCATACAGTCCGGCAGGGTCGCTGCTGTCTTCGTTGAGCCTGTGCAGGGTGAGGGTGGTATTCACAGTGCCACCCAGGAGTTCTTGCAGGGGCTGCGGGAGGCCTGTGATGAGGCGGGAGCCCTCTTGGTCTTTGATGAGGTATGGTGTACTCTGCCACAACTCTGTTCTGTTCAAATTGAGAACCCCATGACACTGCTAGTAATCCATGCTTGGTTGACAAAGTTCGAAACATGCTCAATTTAGTTGCAGCTATGCATTTCATTACCGACTTTAGGCCTGGCCCCGTTCGGCTTGTTCGGCTTCTTTTTTCAGCCAGAACAGTGTTTTTCTCTCACCACAATTTAGCCAGAACAGTGTTTTTCAGCCAGTTTCAGCCAAAATTCTGCCAGCCGAACGTATTCATCAGGGATATGAAACTATGAGAGACTGCATTTCCGTTCTTAACTCTTGTCAGAGTCAACCTGTTACTCTATTCTAGTACATTCATATTGCCAATTCAGCAATACATCATGATTACATTCCATAGTTTTCAAGCTGCATCAATCTGTGAAGTGGGCAGCCATCAGATGTAATGTTAGCATATGGTTTCTAAACGCAGGTGCAATGTGGTTTCGGGCGCACGGGTTACCTCTGGGCCCATGAGGCATATGGAGTAGAACCAGACATAATGACCTTAGCAAAGCCATTGGCCAATGGTATTCCCATCGGTGTCGTCTTGGTCAAGGAGAAGGTTGCTGCAGCCATAAACTACGGCGACCATGGTACAACATTCGGCGGTGGCCCCCTTGCCTGCCAGACTGCGATAACCGTGTTTGACAAAATCATGAAACCTGGGTTCTTGGCTGAGGTGTCCAAGAAAGGGGAGAACTTCAAGCAGCTTCTACGCACCAAGCTGAGCGGAAACCCGCACGTAAAGGAGGTCCGTGGGGTTGGCCTTCTCGTCGGCATCGAGCTAGATGTACCAGCTGGTCCTCTGGTCGACGCATGCTTGGATGCCGGCGTCATAGTGCTCACTGCCGGCAAAGGCAATGTTGTGAGGCTCGTGCCACCGCTCATCATCTCAGAGAAGGAGCTGGAGCATGCCGCAGATGTTATCAGGGACTGTCTACCGGCGCTTGATGTCGCCACTACTTAATGTAGCCACAGGTCTTCTATCAGTTTGCTAGGGTGATCCAACCTTTTGGGAGATTCAGGTAATATATATGGTGGTATAGGCCCGCATATGAAAACCTGTTCCAAATTTTGGAATCGAATAATTTCATGTCGGACCAATATTGTTGTCAGAGTAAGAATTATTCAAAACTCATTGCTGTTGAGTACTTGGTCGTGGCACCTTGGTAAAGTGTGGAGCATGTCTCAGTGCTGCTAAAACCTTGTAAGAGTAACTTCAAGAGCTTGGTAAAATTCACTTGGTAGTATAATATAGTAGGAGGCTTAATTTGTCCCTCTAAAAGGAAAAATAAAAATAAAAATAAAAAAAGACCCACAACTTGATAAATTATTGTTCAGCGTGCTGACCTTAGCAGCCGTATTATCTGTTGAGGACGCTCTTATTGGGGTAATAAGCAGATACATACAGCAACGTGCGGATAGGTTAACTAGTTTGGATGGTATTTGGGTTAGGGAAGCAACGGCAGGCACAGATTGATTAGAGAGAGCAAGAACTCCTGTCCGTTGCGTTTCCAACTTTCCATCGATAATAACGAGATTATCTCCCATACGCCTAACTGCCTCATTTCGGCCTTCACTCGGCCCACGGCCCATTACAAATGTGAATCCAAACTCCGAACACACTCCTCGTAGCGCGCAAAAACTCCCGCCGTCCGTCTCCTCTTTTGCTTCCTCTAGCGCGCCGGCCGCCACCCGAAAAGCGGAGACGCTTTTGCTCAGGGCGCGTTTGGTTGCATGATGGAAAGCTTTTTGTTTGGTTAGCCGGATCCAGCACATGCACAGCTCTTGCTCTCTCACAGATGCATGCTCTGCACCGCATGAGCCTGGCCGAGTTGGAACTGCATGGGCCAGGTCCGACATGTGCGCCAACCAAACAAACCGAGGGCCGCTGCAGGCAACCAAACGTGCCCCGGCGGCCAGCCCCCTCGCACTCACAAAGTCACAGTCGCCCCGGCGGCCGGCGCTCCACCACTCCTCCCAAGTACTGACTCATCCATTCCACCATTTCTTGGAAAAAACCGGACTTTAGTCCCCCCCCCTATAAAAGGAGCATTTGTCTGCGTTTATTATAGTGACACACCTAGAATTTAAATTTATTATAGATTTATAACTAAAGTCTAAGACGGTAACGCAAAGAATTGCATGACCTTTGATTCTAGTAGTTTGCAAGGACATGTTCCTTGACTTTATCTGAGTGCTACAATACACCTCAAAATCATAGCCAATGTGTCCTCTAAAAAGAACCGGGAAAAAAGATCTAGTTCAGCTTTGTCAAACACCACTTCGCTCCTTGTGATCTAAATCGCGAAGCAAAATGCAACAATCTCGATCAATAAAAAATAACTATGTTTGTGCCCCCCAACTTTGACCAATTATTAAAAAGATGGTTGGTATTCCTTAGCGATTTGGTGCCAAACAAAACAAACACGATACACCAAAGGAAGCGTGTATAATGATAATAAAAAACAAATGACGGATATTTTTAAATTTGCTACAAAACAAGTCTTACTACCGTTTCATTTCCTTTTAGCTAAGGTTTCTTTGTAAGTGTTGATCCTTTGTTTAAGAACCAAAGAAAAATCTTAATTTTCAGGGGCCCTTTTATATGCCAAATTTCTTGGGTAACCTAATCCCATTATTGACTAGATATTTGTACTACATTGTTTAGCACAAAAAAAGCCGTTATGTTTAGGTTCCAGATGAAAGTATCATTACCTTCATTTAAGTTAATAAATGCAACTCTGGCAACTAGGTTTTGCTATTCCAACGGTTTGTTTCCAACTAGTGCCCTTATAAAAGACATTAAGCTAGGTGGAATTAAGTACATCCGCCACTGTTGCTCGTTTCCCTCGCACTATATTAAATAAATTCAGAGACTATATTTTCAAAGCTTGAATCTTACTAGAACCTATTCTGGGTTCCACCATCTAGTTTGAACTTACCTAGACTTAAAGAAAATGTCTTCGATCCCTAACAAACGATTCCAAAACCGTGAAATCCCTATTTTCTTGTTGACTTGGCTTAGAATTTTGTTCTTCAGATACTTGTTCCTAAGTAATTCCTACCACATACCAAAGTCATTACAAAGTTTGCAAAGCCATTTGCTCAAAAGACTCTTATTTTGTAAATTGAGGTTTTGAATTCCTAAACTACTTTGCTCTTTTGGTTGGCACAAAATATTCCACTTTATTAGTCTATACTTCTTTTTATGCTCGTTATTCTGCCAACAAAACTTTGATCTAAAATATTCAATCTTTTTAGGAACTCCTCCCAGGACTTCAAAGAATTGTACATGCGGATGCTTCGCATGATATTACTATGGTGGATTCTGGCCCTGTTCGCTTGAACTTATCAGCCATGGTATAATGTTTTTCTCTCACAACAAATCAGCGAACATTACTTTTCAGCCTAACGCTTCAGCCAAACGAACAGTGGCCAAAGGATGGTTTCATTAGCATATCCAAGGATTGTTTTGTGCCTATTATTGTAAAGTAGGTCGAAAATCAACTAAATTATATTATGTGTGCATATGCATCATGAGTCCGATGAATTGTAGTTAATCATCGTCCGTAGATCGCTTTGGTCTAAAATAATGTTTTTAGTGCGCAAGTTTTATAAAAAGTAGAGAGGCATATGTTTGCGCCCAAAATCAATTGATTACGAGCTTTTAGGAAAACCGGATAGACTTCTTCATAATATAGTTTAGACTTCCGCATTGCATTCCTCTTGTCAAAACAATTGAAATGAAGATATAGAACACCCAATTTGAAGTCTGGATGAGGAATTACAACTTCAGAGAGATCCACCTCGAGGAAACCGGCTAGGCCGGTTTTGACATGGTTTTGTAAGGGTTTTTTACCCTAACAGGATAAGTCTACCCTTCCGAGAGAACGTTGGTTGGTCTGCCGGAGACCATGACTGAAATCGGCCTTAGCCAAAATCTGAAACCGGCTTAATGGGCTGGGCGTAGGGGGGGGGGGCTGCATTGAGCTCTTCGGTGTGCCGCACGTGGCCTGCTCTGGTATTCGTCCTAGCCAAAATATAAACGTCAGCACGTCCAAAGATGTAACAAAAAAGAAGGGAATCGTGCATGACTTGTGCGTGTGTAACACGCACAAACTACTTCCTCCCACGTAAAAGTGGTAACAGATCGAACCGATCGAGGACAAGGAAACAAGGAATCATGCACGTGCCAACCTTAGCTCGGCAGAAAAACTGTGAGATAGGACCAAGAATCCAATACCATTTCTTTCCGAAAGACCAAAACAAAGATCACTCAAATGAAGATGGACGGAATGAGCAAACTTCGTCAATCCCTAGCATTGCAAGACTTTACAGCGTGTTTGGATTGAATCACGGTCTTGACTGAGCCATCCAATCCTGTATCCGACCCTAGCAGTTTGTTTGGATTGAGGTGCGGAGCCATGTCAGGGCACCATCAATCATCAATGGAGGCTAACACTCTCAGTGATTCTAGTACAAATAAAGTAATCCACATAGACTAGAAAATGTTGAGACTACTATTCACACAATGCAAACCATCACTACTCATGGTTTGCATAGAAACATTTTGCTTTCATCATGCCTCACCTTTATTTTCTCTTCCTTTTCTTTTTTAGCATAGATCACATTCTCTCTCCCAAGCATATGTAGCTTCTGCAAGTCACTATGACAAGTATAGAACACCTATTTTTTTATCCGATCCTACGTGACATTTAGGGCTACAAGCAAAAGGATAGTGTTGGGGAAGGCCTCATGCAGCACCAAGTGGTCATTTCACTACTACAAAAAGCATTTTTAGGGGTGGCTGGTAACCCTTTGTAGGGACGGTTTAGCTAGCTGCCCCTACCGAACCGTCTCTACAAATCATGTATTTATAGGGGCGGCTCAATCACCAGCCGCCCCTATAAATCGATTTGTAGGGGCGGCTCATATTACCAGCCACCCCTACAAATCGATTTGTAGGGGCGGCTATAGTGCCAGCCGCCTCTATAATACCTGTTTGTAGGGGCGGTTCAATCTAGAACCGCCCCTACAGTACGTTTTCCAGCAAAAAAAATTCAAATTCGACCAGAACTGTTTGTTTCCGTGTATTCCATCCAGCGTTCGGCAGCGACCAACGTTCCGAACCGTGTTTGCGTTGCCGAACGCCCCGCGACCAATGTTCCAAACGCGACTACAAGCACAATAGTATTACATAAACTACAATTACAAGTCCAATTCATAAGAATATATGCAATCCATCTTTAAATATACAAATTCCATACACATTGTTATCAACGTCCTAGAGCTAGCCTTTCAGTCTCACGAAGGTGTTGGTACTGAGGATTTCTACCTAAGTCAGACTCTCGGTCATGGTAGGCGCCTTTGATGTGTACAATCTGGTCCAATATGAAGTTGCAAAAGTCGCCGACGAGCTCTAAGAGTTGGTCATCCTTGTATGGGTCTCTTTTCATTCCTTTCTCTTCTCTCCACTACAAGAGAACAAGTTTCAGTTTAGTATTTCATACCATGTACGAAGTTTTTATACTACTGATGAAGAGGTTCAAACTTACCCTTAAGGGGTGTCTCCTGTAGGCGCTGGTGTTACTCATCATAGAACATATATAGTATCCACAATGTACACTCCCAGGCTTCTGCTTGGGGCACTGTGTGTTTTGCATATAAAAATGTAAGGTAATGCTTTTGACAGCCATGTAACGGAGTACCGAAGAAGTAAGTTACACTTACTGCACATAGTGTTTTTATAGTCACCTTTTCCTTCCTTGCTAGATCATGCCTTCCGTGATGATGAGTGACATAGAACCTAAATGCCCTGTTCGAATTATTTTAGCAAATATAACTTGTTAGTATCCATAAGTGAACGTTACAAGTATGTATACAAACATATAAGCTAATGAGGATTGTCGATATGTATACGTCTTGAGAATCGATATGAAGTCTTTGTATGTCGCCGGGTCCTTA